CCGTGCCCGGCCGGAGGGCCTGGAACGGCCTCCGCTTCGCCCCTCGCCGCAGGAAAACAACCGCGGGCACTCGCCCACCCGCAATCGGAAGCGACGAGTGCGAGGAGGGCCGCCGCGAGCCGCGCGTGGGTGTTCGCGGAACGCTCCGGCAGCACCAGCACCGGAACTTGGGGCGAGAGGAAGGCAGCCTCCGCAGGCAGGGCCGAAGGGAGGGGGGGAAGGAGAGAGTGGGAGGGACGCTTAAGTAGGTATCGCCTCCTAAACCGACCGGCGGGCAAACGAGGCACTCCTGAAGAAAGGTTCCGCTGTGCGCTGCTAGCCGAGCCCTGATTCTGGGCTTCAAAGTCCCTAGTGTCCTTGACGCAAGGAACCATATCCTCGCCCCCACAGGGACCCTAGGATCCTTAGTCAAGACTGGGGGCGGAGAGAAGGCTACTGAACCTACAGGCTAGAGAGCCCACCCAGTTTTATAATTGATAGTGTGGGATACTAATACTCTCTGCCTTTGATGGGGGAGGGCAGGGAAGGGTAAGAGCACCCAAAAGATCCACTTTTGAAAGAGGTCTGTATGTCTCTGAGCCTCCGAAATTTGGAAGGGCGTAAGAGACGCTGCACTGAGAAGGAACTGAAAGACTGAACAGACCTCCCAGGAAAAGGGGATTAAGTGTGTAAGATAAAGAGCTAAGAGGCAGCAGTCATAGGCAGACTGGTCCTGAGCCTGCAGAACTTCCATTCTCACGTACGTCACTGAATTGCTAGGATTTGAAATCAGCATTTATCCAAGGATAAATGGTTCATCCACGTACCAGGCTTTGCTTAGCATCAGGAATTTCTTGGTATAGGCCAGTCCTTTCTCTCCTGGGGTTTGTGTGGAGGAAGCAAATGATGTGGAGTAGTTGGATTCGTATCGTTACTATTTGCTATGAAACAGGGATGTGGTTTTGGACTAGGAGACTTCGTTTGGGTGGTCAGAAAAGACCTCCATGACAGGTGACCGGAACAAAGGCTGGGCAAAGAGAATAGTTAGTACAAAGATCTTGACCATCTGCTGAGCTCTGAACAGAAAGCAATGTGGCTGTGGACTGTAGGAAGAGTTCTAAAGAATTAAGTCAGCAGGAGGCAAGTCACGTGGACCCAGTGACCTATGTAAACGGCTCCATTTACTCTGATGGCATCTGCGAAGAGTTTTAAATAGGAAAGTGACAAGGTAGTGCGCTTTTTTTTTTTTTTTAAAGATCACGTTGCCTGCTGCCCGATGTGTGGAGAGCATACCCCAGGATGCAAGAGCAGAAGCACAAAGGCCAGTTAGGAGAGGCTGGGATTACAATTAGTGGAGTATCAGGCTGCTTCTCAAATTCTCTTCTATTCTATGGCACAACTTTACCGATTTACAGATCCCTGTTCAAATGTTGGGGTTGTTCCCCTCCTTACAATATTAAACAAAAACAGCCTTGGAAATAGGACTGAAGATGAGGGGTTTTGATCTAGCTTCAGTTCTTGCCTCCAGGTTCCTTCCTTGAGTTCTTGACTTAGCTTCCAACATGGATGGACTGTGACCTGGAAATGTAAGCCAGACAAAACCTTCTGTCTCATTTGCTTTTGGTCACAGTGATTATCACAGCAAAGAGAGACGATCTAGAGGGGCTTAGCACTGTGTCCCTGGGCTTCCTTCTGTGACTCTGGAGCACAGGATTGTCGTCCCCCCCCCTCCCCTCCCCCTCTCTCCCTCTCTCCTTTCTTTCTATATCCCTCCATCCCTCTCTCAAACTGACAACCTGGACACAAACTGGCAACCATGAAAATGTGTGCCTGCCTCCTAAGGAAAGGCCACTTCACTGCCCTTTTGACTCTGCCACATCCTTACATTCTTTTCCCACCTGATTGGCTGAAGAAAATAAGTTCAAAGTCTGGCCATGGGCCCATTATTCCGAGTTTGTTTTCTACCGGAGGAGACCTCGTTCGTTCAGATACCCACTGCTCCGTGTGAGACTTCCTTCTTCCTCTCTTACTTACCCTCCTCAACTCAGTTTGGTACTGTAACAAACTAGACAAGGGAGCCCTCTGAGAGGCACTGCATGGTCACACACACACACACACACACACACACACACACACACACACACACACGCCTCTGCTCTGACAGCCCCAGGTCAAGAGTCCTGAACCACTAACACAGTACTCACTACAGGGCTCTGGGCTCCCATGGTTGCTCAATGGCCATCTGCTGACTGGAGACTATTTGGTTGCCTCTATTTACCTGGCCTTGGAGGTTGGTATTTCTGTGGTCAGGCTGTGCAAATCTGGAGAGAGGATGTGTAAACAGGATAAGGCTGCACAGCCAAAGGCCAGAGTCCAGAAATAGTTCCTTGTGCTTCAGACCCCTCACCCTCTCCCTAGACAGAAAGCCACTGAGCAATTGAAAACAGAAAAACACAAGCAGGCGCATCCTCGTGGGTTCGCTGATGGCAGTGAGCTGAAGCGTTCTCTCCCTGGACAAAAAACAGGGCAGCTGGCCCTTCCCAGCCCCTGGCTTCCTAGAGAGTGTGGTGGCCTGCAAGCAGAGTGGCTCTGCCTTCCACGGAATAGACAGTCCTCTCTCCAGTCCTCTTTCCAAACCAGGCTGTCCAGTTTGAAGCAATGGGCTTTTCGTAGAGAGATCTTATGTCATTTTCAGACACCAATAAAGACACTCATTTTAGTGCCATGATCCTCATATGGTATGAGAGAAGAGCTGACTCTGGTGTTAAACCGAGTCCCAGTGGGACTCCCGTGGCTGCAGGCAGGTTTCACTTGTGCAGTGGAGTTTAGTACATTCCTTTCGGGACTGTGTGACGAAGACATGCAGGCTTTATTACCAAGTTGATCCCATGGAGGGTTGTCTGTCTGTATGTGTCCTCTTCCTTTTTCTCACCCTGGCATGCATCCTTCTACTGTGCCGTTATCCTGCTCAAAAGAGGAATGCCCATACCATGTGCATTTTCTCTGCAGGATGAATGTGTCTCCAAGAATAACAGCATGGTGTACAGGGCTGGAGGTGGGTCGGCAGAAGGTTCATTCAGAAGGGTTCAGAGCTAAACATGACAGCTTATGTTTATGAACCCAGCACTTAGGAAGCTGAGGCAGGAGAATTACTATGATGAGAAAGGATATTAAAAATCCCAACAAAGCTACAGAAGGAAAATTTCAAAAATTTCAAACAAGAGTAACAACCAAGAAATTACTGCTGAACCCAGGTTCAGCAGACTGTGTTAGCCCAGGTTCGCGGGATGGGCAGCTCATCAACCTCTACTTCCTCTGCTTCCGGGTTCTGGCTTTTCCCTGGCAACCAGATCTGCTTCTGGGCAGCGCTGAGGCCGTTGAGAGATGGCAGCCAGTGTGTGTTACTTCGAAGACCAGCCGTGCCTGGTTCAATCGGGAGGGCAGAGTGAACAGTGAGGCTGCTGTGTTCAGCCATCCTTCCCTGGAGGTCACTCCAGCCAGGTGTCCGAGACGCTAATGATGACAGTGGCAATAGCAAGCTCTCATTGAATGCGTCTCTGTGTGAGGGGTCATAGCAACCACTTCACGCAGGCTAGTTCAGTTTGCGTAAGCTGCTTAAGTGCGGGCTATTATTTCCATCTGCCACTAAGGAACTGAGGCAGGAACTGTGACCTCCTAACTAGAAAGTGCTAGAAAGCCTTATCTCCCCTCACTTGCCTCCACCCAAGTCAGCTCTTGGGATAGGTGCCTTGGGCTTCCTGTTGCCCTGGGCACTTCACCTGGCCAAGACACCAGTTAACTTATCTGTCACTTTATGCTCCTGGAGAAGGGTTCAAGCAAACCTCAACCCACCCACCACACACACCAGACACTCCTCCTTCCCAGAAATGCAGGTAGGTCCAGATCCAAACTCTTGCTGTCTCCTGCTAGAGATCTTCTCACACTTTCCCTGAGAGCCACAGCACCTCCTGAGTCCCTTGTCCCTTTCTGATGATAGTTGGTGTCTTCTGCACAGCACCTGGCCATCTGGAGAGCGCTTACCTACCCACCTAGTACGGCTTCTTCACCTCAGTCTTCCTAACCACCCTCCAGAGCTGGGCTGTATCCGCTGTGCTGAAACCCTCATCCCACCACTTACTAGCTGAGTGATGCTGGATAAACTACGTGCTGAACTTCCCAACCTCATGGTTTCCCTGTGTGTGAAATGAGGGCAACAGTAGCACCTGCCTGTTGGTCTAGAGGGCTGAGCAAAGTAAATACTGCTGTTTTCATTATCTCACTGAGCCTTTCCCCCAAACCCTGTGGGGATAAGCAGAGCAAGTCAGTTCTTGTCATCCTCCAAAACGAGTTTAAACCACATGACCTCTAGGCGCTCTTCCAGCTCTACCCAGCTATGATCCTGCCATGAATCAGTTATTTAAGGAAACGTCTTTGCTCCTTATGCCGTAGCCATCTCCAAAGACCCAGCCCTTCACACAGGGCCTTGTGTATAGTCCACAGTCCTGCCAGATCAATGTTAGCATATAACAATAGTCCCTGCCTCAGCCAGGCAGTGGGAAGAGCAAATGAGGAAACTTCTAAATAGCATTTAGCATAGTGCCTGGCATTGAGTGAGCCAATAAACCATAGTTATATTGTTGTGCTTCTGACGATAGCACTCCCCAAGCCCATCATTAAAAACACAGGCTCACAAGGCATGGTAATGTATGCCTATAATCCCAGCACTTGATTGGCTGAGGTGGGAGGGTGGATAGCTTGAGCCACATAGCAA